CCATCCGCCCCCTCCTGGGGGTATCCATAAACCTCCTTGGGGCATCCAGAACCTCCCTGGGGTATCCATCTATCTCCTTGGGGCATCCACAGCCTCCTTGGGGCATCATCCACTTTCTTGGAACATCCACAACCTCCTTGGAACAGCCACAGTTTCCCTGGGGCATTCCCAACCTCCTTGGGGTATCCACAGCCTCCTTGGAAGACAGAGACCCTCCCCAAATCCCTCCCCAGTCCTTTCCCAATCCCTTCCCAATCCTTTCCCAATCCCTTCCCAATGCTTTCCCAATCCTTTCTCAATCCTTTCCCAATCCCTCCCCAGTCCTTTCCCAATCCCTTCCCAATCCTTTCCCAATCCCTTCCCAATGCTTTCCCAATCCTTTCTCAATCCTTTCCCAATCCCTCCCCAGTCCTTTCCCAATCCCTTCCCAATCCTTTCCCAATCCCTTCCCAATGCTTTCCCAATCCTTTCTCAATCCTTTCCCAATCCCTCCCCAGTCCTTTCCCAATCCCTTCCCAATCCTTTCCCAATCCCTTCCCAATGCTTTCCCAATCCTTTCTCAATCCTTTCCCAATCCCTCCCCAGTCCTTTCCCATTCCCAATCTAATCCTTTCCCAATCCCTTCCCAATCCTTTCCCAATCCTTTCCCAATCCCTTCCCAATCCTTTCCCAATCCTTTCCCAATCCCTTCCCAATCCTTTCCCAATCCCTTCCCAACCCCTTCCCAATCCCTCCCTGGTCCCTCCTGGCCCCCCCAGCCCTGGCTGAGCTCTGGCATCACCTCATGCCACTGTTGTCTCCCATCCCTGGCAGGTCCCGTTGGGCTCTCCCCCCTGGATCCATCCCTGCCCGTGGCTATGATGAACTGAGGCGACTCCTCCCCAATTCCTTGGAATTTGGGCCGGTTGGGATAAGCCCTGGGAGCCGTTGGATGCCCGAGGTGTGAAGTGGCCTCGTCCCTCCCTCCCTGAGCCACAGTCAGCCCAGGAGGCCTCAGCGTTCCCGGAGAACATGGGCAGGAAGAAGATCCAGATCCAGCGGATCACGGACGAGCGCAACAGGCAGGTGAGTCTTCCTCCTCCTCCTCTTCTTCCTCATTCACCTCCTCATCTTTTTCCACATTCTCCTCTTCTTCCTCCTCCTCCTCATCTTTTTCATCCTCCTCCTCCTCTTCATCCTCCTCCTCTTTTTCATCCTCCTCCTCTTCTTCCTCCTCTTCTTCCTCCTCCTCATTCTCCTCCTCCTCTTCTTCCTCATTCACCTCCTCATCTTTTTCCACATTCTCCTCTTCTTCCTCCTCCTCCTCATCTTTTTCATCCTCCTCCTCCTCTTCATCCTCCTCCTCTTTTTCATCCTCCTCCTCTTCTTCCTCCTCTTCTTCCTCCTCCTCATTCTCCTCCTCCTCTTCTTCCTCATTCTCCTCCTCGTCCTCTTCCTCTTTTTTGTCCTCCTCCTCTTCTTCCTCCTCTTCTTCCTCCTCTTCCTCTTTTTTGTCCTCCTCCTCTTCTTCCTCCTCTTCTTCCTCCTCTTCCTCTTTTTTGTCCTCCTCCTCTTCTTCCTCCTCTTCTTCCTCCTCTTCCTCTTTTTTGTCCTCCTCCTCTTCTTCCTCCTCTTCTTCCTCCTCCTCCTCTTCTTCCTCCTCCTCCTATTCCTCCTCCTCTTCCTCCTCTTCTTCTTCCTCCTCCTCTTCCTTCTCCTCATCATCCTCATCTTCTTCCTCATTCTCCTCCTCATCTTTTCCCTCATACTCCTCTTCATCCTCCTCTTCCTCCTCCTCATTCTCCTCCTCCTCTTTTTCCTCATCCTTTTCTTCTTCCTCCTCTCCTCTTCCCCCTCTTTCTCCTGTTCTTCCTCCTCTTCTTCCTTCTCTACTTCCTCTTCTTCTTCCTCTTTGTCCTCCTCTTCTTCCTCCTCTTCTTGTTCTTCCCCCTCTTCCTCCTCCTCTTCCTCCTCCTCCTCTTCTTCCTCCTTGTCCTCCTCCTCTTCCTCCCCAAACGATTCCTTTTCTCCCTCCTCAACCCAGATCATTCCCTTTTTTCCCCCCCTCACACCACATCATTCCCTTTTTCCTCTCTCTCAACCCAAATACTCTTGGGACAACATGTGCCCAGACCTGAGTCCCTCAGAGGAGCTCCACCCCCCTCACACCACATCATTCCCTTTTTCCTCTCTCTCAACCCAAATACTCTTGGGACAACATGTGCCCAGACCTGAGTCCCTCAGAGGAGCTCCAGGAGGGACTTGGGACAAGGGATGACAGGACACAACACAGGGAATGGCTTCACCCTGG